AATAGTAGTAGTAGTAGTAATAGTAGCATAGATCTGCGGCTCAACTAATTCAACACAGATAGGATAGCTACTTATGTATTAGGATATTTAATATTAAGGTAATTAAATGGTGGCGAAGGTGTGGCTGTTAGGGGAGGCTGGAGGCCACGTTAAAAAAAAAAAAAGTTGTAGTAACAGCAGTATTAATTTAAAGATTAGTTTGTTATTGTAACAGGGAGTGAATATACGCGTAGTTGTGTGTTATAGTAAGAATGGTTTAGTATAGGAACCACATATTGCCTTAATAAAGTTGTAAGGATAATGTTATAAGACGATGTTGTAGTGTTGTAAATAGTGTGGTCAGAGTAACGTTGTGTGCATATTGTTTATATGTTGTCATGTGTTGTTACCCTAGTGTTGTCAGCATAGTGTTGTTAGCCTAGTGTTGTCAGCATAGTGTTGTTACCCTAGTGTTGTCAGCATAGTGTTGTTAGCCTAGTGTTGTGGCAGTGTTGTTCCTAGTGTTGTCAGCATAGTGTTGTTACCTAGTGTTGTCAGCCAGTGTTGTTAGCCTAGTGTTGTCAGCATGTGTTGTTAGCCTAGTGTTGTCGGCATAGTGTTGTTACCCTGGTTTGTCAGCATAGTGTTGTTACTAGTGTTGTCAGCATAGTTTTCCTGTTGTCAGCCAGTGTTGTTAGCTAGTGTTGTCAGCATAGTGTTGTTACCTAGTGTTGTCAGCATAGTGTTGTTACCTAGTGTTGTCAGCATAGTGTTGTTAGCTAGTGTTGTCAGCCATAGTGTTGTTGCCTAGTGTTGTCAGCATAGTGTTGTTACCTAGTGTTGTCAGCATAGTGTTGTTACCCTAGTGTTGTCAGCCTAGTGTTGTTAGCCTAGTGTTGTCAGCATAGTGTTGTTAGCCTAGTGTTGTCAGCATAGTGTTGTTACCTAGTGTTGTCAGCATAGTGTTGTTACCCTAGTGTTGTCAGCATAGTGTTGTCAGCATGTGTTGTTAGCTAGTGTTTGTCATCATAGTGTTGTTAGCCTAGTGTTGTCAGCATAGTGTTGTTACCCTAGTGTTGTCAGCATAGTGTTGTTAGCCTAGTGTTGTCAGCATAGTGTTGTTAGCCTAGTGTTGTCAGCATAGTGTTACCTAGTGTTGTTAGCTAGTGTTGTTACCTAGTGTTGTCAGCATGTGTTGTTAGCCTAGTGTTGTCAGCATAGTGTTGTTACCCTGTTGTTAGCCTAGTGTTGTTACCCTAGTGTTGTCAGCATAGTGTTGTTACCTAGTGTTGTCATCATAGTGTTGTTAGCCTAGTGTTGTCAGCATAGTGTTGTTAGCCTAGTGTCAGCATAGTGTTGTTACCCTAGTGTTGTCAGCCTAGTGTTGTTAGCCTAGTGTTGTTAGCCTAGTGTTGTCAGCATAGTGTTGTTAGCCTAGTGTTGTCAGCATAGTGTTGTTACCTAGTGTTGTCAGCCTAGTGTTGTTAGCCCAGTGTTGTTGTTAGCCTAGTGTTGTCAGCATAGTGTTGTTACCTAGTGTTGTCGCATAGTGTTGTTACCTAGTGTTGTCAGCTAGTGTTGTTAGCCTAGTGTTGTTACCCTAGTGTTGTCAGCATAGTGTTGTTAGCCTAGAGTTGTCAGCATAGTGTTGTTACCTAGTGTTGTTAGCCTAGTGTTGTTAGCTAGTGTTGTCAGCATAGTGTTACCCTAGTGTTGTTAGCCTAGTGTTGTTAGCCTAGTGTTGTCAGCATAGTGTTGTTACCTAGTGTTGTCAGCATAGTGTTGTTAGCCTAGTGTTGTCAGCATAGTGTTTGTTACCTAGTGTTGTTAGCCTAGTGTTGTTAGCCTAGTGTTGTCAGCATAGTGTTGTTACCTAGTGTTGTCAGCATAGTGTTGTTACCCTAGTGTTGTCAGCATAGTGTTGTTACCTAGTGTTGTCATCATAGTGTTGTTAGCTAGTGTTGTCAGCATAGTGTTGTTACCCTAGTGTTGTCAGCATAGTGTTGTTAGCCTAGTGTTGTCAGCATAGTGTTGTTACCCTAGTGTTGTCAGCATAGTGTTGTTACCCTAGTGTTGTCAGCCTAGTGTTTGTTAGCCTAGTGTTGTCAGCATAGTGTTGTTAGCCTAGTGTTGTCAGCATAGTGTTTTTACCCTAGTGTTGTCAGCATAGTGTTCCCTAGTGTTGTCAGCCTAGTGTTGTTAGCCTAGTGTTGTCAGCATAGTGTTGTTAGCCTAGTGTTGTCAGCATAGTGTTGTTACCCTAGTGTTGTCAGCATAGTGTTGTTACCTAGTGTTGTCAGCATAGTGTTGTCAGCATAGTGTTGTTAGCCTAGTGTTGTCATCATAGTGTTGTTAGCCTAGTGTTGTCAGCATAGTGTTGTTACCTAGTGTTGTCAGCATAGTGTTGTTAGCCTAGTGTTGTCAGCATAGTGTTGTTAGCCTAGTGTTGTCAGCATAGTGTTGTTACCCTAGTGTTGTTAGCCTAGTGTTGTTACCCTAGTGTTGTCAGCATAGTGTTGTTAGCCTAGTGTTGTCAGCATAGTGTTGTTACCCTAGTGTTGTTAGCCTAGTGTTGTTACCCTAGTGTTGTCAGCATAGTGTTGTTACCCTAGTGTTGTCATCATAGTGTTGTTAGCCTAGTGTTGTCAGCATAGTGTTGTTAGCTAGTGTTGTCAGCATAGTGTTGTTACCTAGTGTTGTCAGCCTAGTGTTGTTAGCCTAGTGTTGTTAGCCTAGTGTTGTCAGCATAGTGTTGTTAGCCTAGTGTTGTCAGCATAGTGTTGTTACCCAGTGTTGTCAGCCTAGTGTTTGTTAGCCTAGTGTTGTTAGCCTAGTGTTGTCAGCATAGTGTTGTTACCTAGTGTTGTCAGCATAGTGTTGTTACCCTGGTGTTGTCAGCCTAGTGTTGTTAGCCTAGTGTTGTTACCCTAGTGTTGTCAGCATAGTGTTGTTAGCCTAGTGTTGTCAGCATAGTGTTGTTACCCTAGTGTTGTTAGCCTAGTGTTGTTAGCCTAGTGTTGTCAGCATAGTGTTGTTACCCTAGTGTTGTTAGCCTAGTGTTGTTAGCCTAGTGTTGTCAGCATAGTGTTGTTACCCTAGTGTTGTCAGCATAGTGTTGTTAGCTAGTGTTGTCAGCATAGTGTTGTACCTAGTGTTGTTAGCCTAGTGTTGTTAGCCTAGTGTTGTCAGCATAGTGTTGTTACCTAGTGTTGTCAGCATAGTGTTGTTACCCTAGTGTTGTCAGCATAGTGTTGTTACCTAGTGTTGTCAGCATAGTGTTGTTAGCCTAGTGTTGTCAGCATAGTGTTGTTACCTAGTGTTGTCAGCATAGTGTTGTTACCCTAGTGTTGTCAGCATAGTGTTTACCCTAGTGTTGTCAGCATAGTGTTGTTACCTAGTGTTGTCATCATAGTGTTGTTAGCCTAGTGTTGTCAGCATAGTGTTGTTAGCCCTAGTGTTGTCAGCATAGTGTTGTTAGCCTAGTGTTGTCAGCATAGTGTTGTTACCCTAGTGTTGTCAGCATAGTGTTGTTAGCCTAGTGTTGTCAGCATAGTGTTGTTGTTACCTTAGTGTTGTCAGCATAGTGTTGTGAGGATAAATTTGTCAGCCAAGTGGTGTTAGTATAAATTTATCAGCATTGTGTTGTTAGTATAAAGTTGTCAGCATAGTACTGTCAGCTTACTGTTGTCAGCTTAGTAATGGCCGGCTAGTATGTATACAGCAGTAGTAGCCGAAGGTCACATTAAGAGCGTCAAATGATAGTGACTTACTTTTAGCTTACACGCAGTCATTCCATTACCCTAAACGGAGACGCCGGTAAACAAACTCATTTGTTTTCGACACTTCCATTTTCATTACGTTTGGTGTTCTTTAAACCTCCAAATGTTGCAGTTTGGTGAAAGTTTTTGTTCCCCAGGAGGTGAGTATTGGGGTCCTGCAACTCGTAAATAGCTGTCCTCCTCCTCCTCCTCTTCCACCAACTCTTCCTCCTCCATCTCTTCCTCTTCCTCCTCTTCCTCTTCCTCCTCCATCTCTTCCTCTTCCTCCTCCATCTCTTCCTCCTCATTCTCCATCTCTCCTCTTCGTCCTACTCTACAGCGAAAGCTTTAATCGTGTGTCCTCCCGATCCTGAGCGTCACGGTGGCGGACGTGTGCCAAATTTAAAGTAGACTTTTGTAGAATACCGTCGATTTAAGGCGTTTCTTGGCCCTCAGTTACCCAAGTTGAAATTGTACTTGATGTGTACAGTGAAACAGCTGGCCACTGGTAGATCTTAATTATATATATATATATATATATATATATATATATATATATATATATATATATATATATATATATATATATATATATATATATATATATATATATATATATATATATATATATATATATATGAGTTCTAGTACAGTTTTTATCATGAGAATGTAAAGATGAATTTCATTTCAAGACTCGAGTGAAGGCAAGTGTTAGCACCAGGAGGTCGTCAATAAGCTGGCGGCGCTACCTTGTGTGTGTGTTCCTGCAGGAGGGTGATAGAGACTCCTGCTGGCGGCGCTGCCTTGTGTGTGTGTTCCTGCAGGAGGGTGATGGAGACTCATGCTGGCGGCGCTGCCTTGTGTGTGTGTTCCTGCAGGAGGGTGATGGAGACTCCTGCTGGCGGCGCTGCCTTGTGTGTGTGTGTGTTCCTGCAGGAACTCCTGCTGGCGGCGCTGCCTTGTGTGTGTGTTCCTGCAGGAGGGTGATGGAGACTCCTGCTGGCGGCGCTGCCTTGTGTGTGTGTTCCTGCAGAAGGGTGATGGAGACTCCTGCTGGCGGCGCTGCCTTGTGTGTGTGTTCCTGCAGGAGGGTGATGGAGACTCCTGCTGGCGGCGCTGCCTTGTGTGTGTGTTCCTCCCTGGGAAAATAAACTTTGTTAGGCCTCAATTTGAGTGAGTTTTGTCCTTATTATATAATCATGTTACGTGTTTTTGTATGTCTGTCATTTTGTTTAAATTTCAGTGTCAGGGTAACGGCCTCAAGGGAGACGCATGTGAAGGCCGCCGCGGGGGTGAACGAGCAGGTGTCAGTGTGGTGCCTGCTTGGTAAAAGCGTGATGGTGCCGTGATGGTGAGCGGCAGGTGGTGCGCGACCTCGCCTGCCCCCTGCTGCTGCCGCCTACTGCACGGCGCCGCCCCTCCCGGCCTCTGACGATGCGGTCAACTCCGCGGGCGGGCGGGGGCGGCGGCGCGCTGTCCTCGTCTACGTCCTCAAGCAGAATTATCTGCGGATCCAAGTGACTAGGGTTGGGGACGTCCCGACGGGGGGGGCGCGGCCCCCCAATCGCCGGGGGACGCGCCTCTGGCCGGTATGTGCGGGGTTGTCTACGCGTGGTGCAGGTGAGCGCGCGCTACCTCATCTCCGCCAGTCGCGCACCTTCCACCATGATGAGGTCCAAAAAGAAAGAAGGCAACCTGAAGCCTTCCCGCAAGCTGGATAAGCGGTCTAGCCGCGGTGTTATGTTCGAAAATGAAGAGCTGCGTATGCGCACTATAGAGATCAACGCCGAGGTTGACCGCGGCCAGTCAGATCTACGCAAGCTCAAGAAAGAAAACGAAACTTTGAAGCAGCAAGTGTGGACGCTCCGTGACGAGTACGATAAACTCGAAAACTTTGTTAAAACTATGGATGAGGACAGTGACGACGACGATGACGAGGACGACGAGGATGAGGAGGACGAGTTGGAGCAGAGGTTCTGTGGGCCCAAAATTAATGAGGAGGAGGGGGAAGACGAAGACGATGAGGAGGGTAACGTAGAAACAGATAACTTAGAAAATTTACAAAAAGTGTATAGTGGTAAAATGCGGAGTGTAGAGTATACAATGCGTCAGGCGTCCACTATAGACAGTGGGCTGGCAGGGGGCTGCAGCCAGGCCCAGTGTGCGGGCGGGCCTGGTGCTGCCGCGTGTCCCGGCCCAGTAGACAGCCTGGCCCAGTCGGGGTCGGTGCGGGTGTGCGTGCCTGACGACACACCTGCCTTTGTCGATGTTGGGGAGGGGGGGACGTCACCCCCAGACCCCCTACAACCCATAACTTCTGAAACTTACTTATCTCAGACTGACCACTTTAATCTCGATCAATTACTTGACTTTGCTTCATCGTTTCACTACGACCGACGGAAGCACCTCACTCAGGAGCCCCTAGCGATGGCACTGCCACCCGAGGAGGAGCGGCCGTCGTCCCCCTCCAGGGACAAGGTCGTTCCTGACCCCAGCTACTCCACAGTCCGGCGCCGCTCCGCCACCGTCATCGAGAAGCTGAAGAGCGGCAGTAACACCGGCGCCCTGGTGAAGGAGGTGAAGCAGCTGTCACTGTGTAAGGACGGTGCCACCACCACCACCACCGCGGTGCCTGTAAACGAGTCTCCTGAGGTGACACACACCACCACGGTCAACTACACGCGCTCTTCCTACTTCTTCTCGGGCCCGCTGGACGGCAACAGGAGCCAGTCTCTTGGTACTGGCCTCAATTCTGCCGCCAATATCACCCGGACCCCCAGCAGCCCTGCCGGTCCCCTCTACTCCTCCAGTAGTGCTTCCAATATCGGCACGTCATCGTCACTCGAGGCGGGGCTGCCTCTCGTCTCCGTCTACAACCCGAGGGCTTCCCTGGTGCGTCTCAACAGCATAGAACCAAACACTATTATGGTTTCGGTAGCCGAAATGCCTCAGTTGTGGGACATTACTACGCAAGAAATAATAGACGAGCTTGAACAGCAAACAGAGGGGACTTTGCTTTCCATCCGCGGCGTGCGTGTTGTGGGTCGCGCGGCATACATCAGCCTGGGTCGTCGCGACGCCTTGCAGCAACTGCTGAACCATGGCCTCACCGTCCGGGGCGGCAAGGTGCCACTCATTGACATCACGCGAGAGTCCATCGTTCTGGCCCTCACCGGCGTCCCTCACTACATAGCCGACGCCACTCTCGTCATCCTCCTCTCCGCCTTCGGCACAATTATTGGTGAGCTCGAGCGCCGATTTTACAAAGGTGTGGACACAGGCGAGCGGTTCGTGCGGATGAAGCTAAAGAAGCACGTGAAGCTCCCCAAGTATGTGACTGTAGGAGGGTGTCGCATAGTGCTGACGGTCCACGGCCGCGACGCCCCCGCACAGCTGCAAGTGCCTGAGTGGAGCACCAAGGGCCCCCCTACGCCAGCACCGCCACCAACACCTCACACCACTCACGCCCCACAGGTGACCGAACCCTCTCACGCAGATCTCACCACCCCGGTCTCTCCGGACTCTGGCCAGTGTTCTGAACCATCTTCCAGTGATAAATCCTGTGAGCGCATAGAGGGGAGGGACGGGGCGGTAAGAACGGACACTACACAAAATGATGGTCGGATAACCGCTAAATCTTCAAAAACTTTTTCCAGCAGATGTATTGTTAATCTGAAGTTGCCGGAGAGACCAACGGCGACGAGTGGGCTGCCTCGGGTACGTGAGAACATCAACCCTCGGGACCCCGTGGGGCCTGGCCAGGGCGTGGTTGGTCTTGCTGTTAGCACTGGCACTCCATCCACGCCCCTGGCCGCTGGACATGTGCTGCGGGCGGGGTCGTTATACCGGGGTGCTCGAGGCCCCGACACACCCACAGCCACAGGGAGTGCTGGGGGTGGGTCTCCGATCAGTGGCAGGAGACATTCTCGCCTCGGCGCCGTCGACGCCCGCACACCCGAGTCCCCTCGCCCACGACCTAACTCTGTAGTGTTCGACGAGCAGCCCCGAGAGGGTCCTGTGTCCTCCCGGGGGCTACTGACGCCACAGTACCCGCTGCACCACTCACACGTGGTCGCCACCTCCTCGGGCCCCATGCCGTTAGCCAACGGCATCCTGCGTAAGGCGTCGGGGTCGGAGCAGGAGGCGCTGCTCCCCGCCAGTCAGCGCTGCGCCGCCTCCATCAGGAACAGACTCAAAATCGGACGCAGTATGTCGTACGACGCCGGCAAGCAGAAACTTGTCGCCGAGAAGGAAAAGAAAAAGTTAAATAAGATGGAGAGCATTAGTGAGAACACTATAAACGACGATGTGAGTGACATCACGCCCCTGGGCGCCGGGGCCCGCAGAGACTCCGAGAAGAGCTCCGTCAGTGCCAACAGCAAAAGCAGCACCAACACTAACAAAAAGAAGGAGCCGGTCATTGACCTGCCGTGGTGTGGCTGTTGGGGCAACGGTTGTTTCTAGTGTGTAGTCGTTCACTGGTACCAGTTCCATCCTTTATATTTATCGTTATTTTCTAGTCAATAACTTCCCTTGCTCCCAACGTTACCTAGTCTTCATCAAGTAGTGGATTAGTCTTGGAGAGAGAGACCAGAAACACACGTCTTGGCTGAGTCGTTGTATATATCATGTTGTCTGATTAATGCCACAGTCTTACCATGTTTTAATTTTCCACCATTTCAGTAATCAAAAAACTCACTGCAACCAGTCATTGTGTTGATGAGTGTCCTGTAATTTGATAAAAAATACAAATGATTATATATATATATATATATATATATATATATATATATATATATATATATATATATATATATATATATATATATATATATATATATATATATATATATATATATATATATATATATATATATATATATATATATATATATATATATATATATATAAAACATGTATATGTGTTAATCAGCTACCTTCTTAAACTCGCAGCGTATTCCTTACAAAAAGATTTCACAGGCATTTCTCTTCCGGAGTACTCATAGCACACCACCATCAACCTCTACCTTGACCTAGGCGTTGGTCTCAGCCTCCCAAGCCAGCCTACGGCCTCAGCCAATCACGTGCCGTGTCAGTGAATTGAATTTTTAGCCTATCCAAGGGAGGCTTATAGACCAGCCAAGGGCTCACGTGCTGATCACTGACGTCAACGTCGTCAGCGTCACCGTCTGCACTCTGCACAAGGTACTGTCAACTCTTCGTTGTTTTATAATTCATTACACAAAACTTTACGTCAGTAGCTATAGCTGTTACACCACTATTATAAATTACTTAATATTCAGCAGCTCCATTTAAAAACGTCATTCGGAATATTATTTTTTACGAGAATAATTGTATTCCATGAATACAAATTCTTATTAAAATTCCCTATAAAATAGATATACGAGTAATTAACAAAAAAATAATGTATTAACTTTATGGATCAACAAAATGACTGGTTGCATACAACGTTGTATTTCTGCAAAGCATATCAATTGCGTCAGTCAGTCAGTCATCCATCTCGGCCGGTGGCTCGGGCGAGAAAACAACACGCTCACCCCCCCCACCCCCCCACCCCCCATGATCCCTTCTTTTGCTTCAGTACAAAAAACAAAAAATTAATCTTCAGTTCTCCTCCTCCATCACCACTCTTGGTTTCTCCTTATCTGCTTCAAGAATTGTGACCTGAGAGGCAAGAAAACCAAGTTAATTGAACCTTACTTGGTAGTTCCATAAGGTTCAGTTTTCGTATGATGCTAATGGGAAAAATTTAAGCTTAATGTGAACGCAGCAATGTAGGGCTTTAGGCCAAAAATCTGAAGAGTATTTTTGTGGGTAATGAAGCACTCAGTCCATCTGTCTCTAAAGGCCCGTATTCATCAGCGACACTTGAGCCAAGCGGGTCCTCATCACTGCTGCCAAACGCTTGTGTAAACACTCTCTTCCCAGTCAGTATTGCCAACCTAGCCGCCCTACACCAACATTACGGGGCCTCAACTTCAGTTTGGTTTGTTATCCTAAGAAATCGCTAAAATTTGATAACTTTCAAATAAAAGTTAACTAATTATTCAGCTGTAATATGATAAGCAGATATGGCGGGTCGCTGAGGGAGGCGTAGAGTGCACTTGACTGAAGTATCGGTGGTGAATATTGTACTCTGTAAGGTGATAATGGGAGTGAGTCCATCACCCGGGCTACGGAGGGAGAGCTCTGGCCGGGTATTATAGACACCTGAGTATATTCCTAGCCTTAGAAAATATCGAAATATTTTATACACTTATTGCTTGGTCCCATTACCAAAAATGTTTCAATGTTAGTTTTTCTCCTCAACCACAAACAACAACCAGGTAATTTGTTACGTGCTTGTTACTCCCAGCTGATTGTTTACCTGGTCAGGTGACACTGCCAGCTGGTTGTTTACCTGGTCAGGTGACACTGCCAGCTGGTTGTTTACCTGGTCAGGTGACACTGCCAGCTGGTTGTTTACCTGGTCAGGTGACACTGCCAGCTGGTTGTTTACCTGGTCAGGTGATACTGGTGGATTGTTTACCTGGTCAGGTGACACTGCCAGCTGGTTTTTTCCTGATCAGGTGACACTGCCAGCTGGTTGTTTACCTGGTCAGGTGACACTGCCAGCTGGTTGTTTACCTGGTCAGGTGATACTGCCAGCTTGTTGTTTACCTGGTCAGGTGACACTGCCAGCTGGTTTTTTCCTGATCAGGTGACACTGCCAGCTGGTTTTTTCCTGATCAGGTGACACTGCCAGCTGGTTTTTTCCTGATCAGGTATTATTTCCACCTGACTCAATACCTGATCAGTTAGCTATCACCAGGTGAATGGCTGTTGCTACCTGGTGAGGATCTAATTCCAGATGACTGGATACCTAGTCAGGTATTACTTCCAGCTGATTGGTTACTTGGTCAGGTAATGCTTCCAGCTGGTTGGTCGTTGTTACCTGGCCAAGTATTCCCTATTACCTTCAGCTAATTGGTTGTTACGTAGTGTGAGGTATTACTTCCAGCTAATTAGTTGTTTGTTACCTGGTCAAAGTGGTTATATTTTTTTTTCAAGGGAAGAAGAATAACGTCTTATAGCTCATCTTTCCTTCCTGATATAATGATTGAAATGTAAACACAAATTTTCTATGTCATTGAAGACTGAATAAGCCAACTGGGTTTGTGTGTGAACTTCTCTGTAATCCTTCATCTTGGCTCTACCAAAGGCTGATCGAGGTACAAGACATGAACCTACATTGGTCTTCTTAAACCGGGAATCCATATTTCAAAGTCAAATCTAATAATAATAATATTAATAATAATAAATAATAATAATATTAATAATAATAACATTAATAATAATAGTAATAAATACACAAGCCTTAACAAGACGTGCTGCTAACGCTTCTGCTTGTAATTTTGATATTTTGTAAAAGTTGTTATAATCAATGTTGTTGTTTATATAGTTATTTTCCTAGAAAATTGTAAATCGATGCGGCCACCACACGCGCGATTGGTCATTTTATTTGGAGAAATGACCAAGAAACGACTTTTTTTCCTTCTTTATTTTGGAAAGTCTCGATGGAAAAGGGAATATACAAAAAATATATATAATATATATATACCAAACAATGGTGCTTTTTGGTAGTCTTATAAAATGTTTATTTCTATTATTTATTTGATATTTTTTAAGAGGAGTTGTGGGCGGGGTATATATGTATATATAAATATATATTTATGTATATGTATATATATATACTATCATGTGGAAGATTACGTTATGTTTTTATTGAGAGACAAGTTCATTTTGTTCAGATTCCAAATAAATATTGAACAGAACGGCGTCTTTTATTTATACAGACATCCCCTCCCCCCCCAACTGAACCATACACTGATGATGATGATGATGAAAAGGAATATAATGTCCAATAAAGTTCAAGAAAATGAAAAAAACACAATATTTTGGGGCAAAAATGTTACTATTAAAAGTATAAAAGATAAATAAATAAACAGTTGATAAATAGATAGATGGTTAATGTGTAATAAAGGTCAACTTTCATTAAACATTCACTCTACATGTCTCACCATACAGTCACCATACCTTCACCATTATAACGTCATCAATATGGAGTTTACAAGTGTTTACCACATGAGAATCTATTTCCATTCACCATTCACTGTATTACAATAACTCATATGCATCCACCACCACCACCAGTACAGTGTTCTTGCGTGTCATAACATCACCAGTATCACCAAGACCTAACGTCACCAACCTTACTTAAAGCTGACATCACCACCATCACCAACACACTCTTTCATCTCACCCTCACCCTCACTATCACCACCATCACCCAACACACTCTTTCATCCCACCCTCACCATCACCACCATCACGCAACACACTCTTTCATCTCACCCTCACCACCATCACCAACACACTCTTTCATCCCACCCTCACCACCATCACCAACACACGCTTTCATCCCACCCTCACCACCATCACCAACACACTCTTTCATCCCACCTCCCACCACCACCATCACCAACACCTTTCATCACCCTCACCACCATCACCAACATCACCCTCACCCTCACCTTTCATCCCACCTCACCACCATCACCAACACACTCTTTCATCTCACCCTCACCACCATCCCACACTCTTTCATCCCACCCTCACCATCACCATACTCTTTCATCACCCTCACCACCCTCACCACCATCACCACTTTCATCCCACCCTCACCACCATCACCTTTCATCCCACCTCACCACCATCACCAACACACTCATCCCACCCTCACCACCATCCTCCAACACACTCTTTCATCCCACCCTCACCACCCTCACCACCATCACCAACACACGCTTTCATCCCACCCTCACCACCACCACCACCATCATCAACACACTCTTTCATCCCACCCTCACCACCATCACCAACACACTCTTTCATCCCACCCTCACCACCCTCACCACCATCACCAACACACGCTTTCATCCCACCCTCACCACCACCACCACCACCACCATCATCCAACACACTCTTTCATCCCACCCTCACCACCATCACCAACACACTCTTTCATCCCACCCTCACCACCCCACCACCATCACCAACACACGCTTTCATCCCCTCACCCTCACCATCACCACCATCATCCAACACACTCTTTCATCCCACCCTCACCACCATCACCATCACCAACACACTCTTTCATCCCACCATCACCACCATCACCTTTCATCCACCCTCACCATCACCATCACCAACACATCCCACCTCACCACCATCATCCCATCACTCTTCTCATCCCACCCTCACCACCATCACCATCACCAACACACTCTTTCATCTCACCACCACCACCATCATCCAACACACTCTTTCATCCCACCCTCACCACCATCACCATCACCAACACACTCTTTCATCTCACCCTCACCATCACCACCATCACCCAACAGATGGCTGCCTGGTGGCCCACTAACGAAGCGTCATTTTGTCCAGGGGAGGGAGGGAGGGAGGGAGGGAGGGAGGGAGGGAGGCAGGCTGTGATGGATGGGGTGGAAGAGGTGGGGGGATCTTGCCTGCATTAGCGGCACTCATTGCTAATACGGTGTTTAATGGTCAGGTTTTTGTCAGTTCACGGGTTCGAATCTTTCTTCTTTCAGATTAATGTTTACCGTCACATGTTGAAAATTGATTGTGTGTGTGTGTGGTTTTTTTTATTCTGTGTGTTTGTTTTGTTTTGTCTGTTGGTTGTCTGGTCAGAGGTGTCTTCTTTAATGAGGGTATATAGACAATGTCCTAATGTGTGTATGTCTTAAAGCGTTCGTATATCCTAATGTGTGTATGTCCTAAAGCGTTCGTATGTCCTAATGTGAGTATGTCTTAAAGCGTTCGTATATCCTAATGTGTGTATGTCCTAAAGCGTTCGTATGTCCTAATGTGAGTATGTCTTAAAGCGTTCGTATGTCCTAATGTGTGTCTATGTCTTAAAGCGTTCGTATGTCCTAATGTGAGTATGTCTTAAAGCGTTCGTATGTCCTAATCTGTGTCTATGTCCTAAAGCGTTCGTATGCCCTAAAGCGTTCGTATGTCCTAATGTGTGTATGTCCTAAAGCGTTCGTATGTCCTAATGTGTGTATGTCCTAAAGGTTGTACCGCTAAAGATGCCTGAGATGGACTACTGGTAACGAGTGACAGTGGGTGTCCCGATGTCCTAACTTACTGTATACACAACTTATCTAGCAATGTCCCTGTGTCTTAATTGGTGTATAGACAAAATTGTACCTTGTTAGTTATTGCTTAAAGATGTCCAAATGTCCGTTGCCTCCCTCTTCCTCCTCCTCCTCCTCCTCCTCCTCCTCCTCCTCCTCCTTACACCAGGATGACGTCTGGGAAGAGCTGCGGTACATTATTGGTGTCCTAACTGGGGCAAGAGGTGTCCACAGATGATGTACTGCCGACGTCCTTAAGCAGCGTCCTCGGGTTATTAGCTGACACTTTAAATTATGAGACCTCCGGCATCGACTTCTGCAGCAGCAGGAGGAGGAGGAAGAAGATTTTAAACCTCTGAAGGAAATATTATATTTTTTTTTCATAAAGTAATTTAGTTTCGTTGAATGAAGAAGTTTGTGAAGACGAACGTTGTGAAGTGATTTAATTCATATGTACTCGCTAGACATGTAAAGCAAGTATATGTAGATAGATAACCAGACACCTTGACAATATGTAGATAGTTAATAGGAGACAGACAGACAGACAAACAGACAGTGGAGGAAAAGTAAGGGTGCTGAAGGAGAATGAATAATTAGATTTTAAAGGTATTACTAAAGGATATGGGAAGTGCAAAGGTAAAATATATGTCTCTGTCTGTCTGTCTGTACAATATAAGTCTTACACCTCACCCTCAATCACATCCACTAAACTGAAAGACAATAATTAAATCGCAAAACCCCAAAATTTCTTCTACAACAATTTCCACCATAACTTCCTTAAGAGCATCACCGAAATAAGAGTTGAAGAAATCTGTATACTCTTAACGACCGTAAAATGGCAACCAGGAGGCATAATTACATATATAGGGTGCACCAGAAAAATGTCCCTGCCTGCCTGCTCCCTCCTTCCCTCTCTCCCTGCTCCCTGAAACACTGTGAGTTAGAGGGATGCAGGGAGCAGGTAGGGTGGCAGAGAGGGAGGGAGGCAGAGAGCAAGCATGGAGGTAGGGAAGCAGGCAAGGAGGGAGGGAGGCAGGGAGCAGGCAATGAAGGAGGGAGGGAGGCAGAGAGCAGGCAATGAGGGAGGGAGGAAGGGAGGCATGGAGCAGGCAGGCAGGCAGGCAGGGAGGGAGAGAGGGACGGAGGGAGGGAGGGAGGGAGGGACATTTTTCTGCGACTCCCTATATATAAACATTTCGCACACTAGAGAAGAATGCCGGGCAAGAACTCCCAAAGTGATCCTCAGTGGATCCAGGACCCACGAAATCCTCTGGACGTTAATTACGTCATTATGTTGGATTCATCGTGGGAGGCGCCGGCCGGGGAATTCCTAGCAAGAGGTTCTCCTTCCGTCCCCCCACACCTCCTCTCCCACCCCCACTCCGCTCCCTCCCACCGCCCCCCTGTAGGATGATGAAGTTTCTTACCATCGTTATGTTAGCAGTTATATTCTGGAATCACTTTTAAGACTTTAATCCTCTTTTATATTTCTTCTTCTTTATCTGCTTGTCTTTCTTCTTCGTCTTCTTTTTATTTCTTCTTCTTTATCTTCTTCTCTTCCTCCTTCGTCGTCGTCTTTTTTCTTCTAGGGATAATATTGTACCATCGGTGTTTAGTGTTCGTTACTGCTTCTTCACATCGAGGTATGAACATAAGAACATAAGAAAATAAGGAGTCTGCAATAGGCCGGTTGGCCTGTGCATGGCAGCTCCTGTCGAGAGTTACTACCACTCTCTATCATCCATGAATCTATCTAGCCTGCTTTTGAAACTTTCCAGAGTTCCCGCACTTACTACAAAGTTGCTAAGCTTGTTCCACTCGTCCACCACCCTATTTGTGAACCACTTTCTTCCTATCTCCCTCCTAAACCTAAACTTATCCAACTTGAATCCGTTGCTCCGAGTCCTATCCTGCTCGGATATTATAAGAACTTTATCTATATCCCCTTTATTGATTCCTTTCACCCACTTAAATACTTCTATCATATCTCCCCGCACTCTTCGTCTTTCTAGGGAATGCAAGTTAAGTTTCTTTAACCTATCCTGATATGGAAGGTTTCTAAGTCCCGGAATCATTTTTGTCATTCTTCGCTGCACCGACTCTAGTGAATTTATATCCGACTCTAGTGAATTTATATCCATTCTATAATAGGGGCACCAGAACTGAACCGCATAATCGAGGTGCGGCCTGACTAGCGCAAGATATAGTTGCAATAAGACCTCTGCACTCTTGTTACTTACACTTTTAGATATAAAACCCAATCCTCTGTTTGCCTTATTTCGAACATTAACGCACTGTTTTCTAGGCCGTAGGTCAGGGCTTACAAGTACCCCTAGGTCTCTTTCACAAGTCGACTTCTCTAGGTTGATGTTGTTAAGGCTGTATACATTATAAGTATTTGTTCTTCCAATATTAAGTACGCTGCACTTGCTGGTGTTGAATTTCATTTGCCATTTCTCAGACCACCCCTGCAGTTTACTTCGATCCTCCTGTAATGCATTTGCATCCTGCCCTGAATTAATTTGCCGCCCTATTTTAGTGTCATCCGCAAACTTGCTTATGTCACTGCTGATCCCAGTATCTAGATCGTTTATGTAGATTATGAACAAGAG